GAATGACAATTTTGATTATCTTTTCATGGCATCTCTTTATTACTACCGGTACCTTATACTAAAATGGATATTTAGAGTACTGGTTAGAATTACAATATACCAAGATTATTTACTTTTGAGATATAATTTTTGGCATGTGTTGTTTCTTGCATATTTCAGCCTTGTCTTTCTGAACTCTGTTTAGTAATTCAGACTTCCCAGATTGCATAAAAACGGATAGTTTCACGATTTTAACTTGGAAAATCATTTGCTGAGGGACGGCCGCTTAGGTATGTGCACTCTAACTTGCAGCGTTAGGCAATCAAACAAAAATGATGTTGTACTAAAGTACATAAAGTCTATACTTTTTCATACAATAAACAGTTTTCACCTCGCTTATTAGGACTCAAAAGCGAGTAATTTCCGTTTCCCTCAAGAGTAAATGCTCAGTCCCGCACTTGCCGATAACGTTTTGATTCCAATTAACATAGCTATTGACAAGGAAATTCAAAAAATGAGCATTAAACAATGTTTTGACCATTTTAACTATTTTCAATTATCCTTGACTTTTTCCATGCCAGAGAGAATTACATCACAAAGAATTGTTCCCCGAAAGTCTGTAATAAAAATGAATCAATGTACTTCATGAAAATTCACAACCTTGTTTCCCGAATTCTTGCCAATATTTTGACTAGGTCGCAATTATCGTAGCTATCGCTGAGGTAAATAGTTTTTTACCTTACCTTTACTTATAAATAACGCATCATATTTTAGGCTTCGACCTTTTTTTGGTCGGAAAGGCAAAGGTGATACGACTCAAATTTTCAAGAACATAAGTCGTTCTTTTGTTTCAAGTTTGTTGTATATCAAAACATGGCGTTACAGTGATAGGGAAAAACGCATCATTATGGCAAAGAAAATTATTGATTACTTTTGTTCAGGTTATATAATAAATTCTCTAATTAAAATTTAATTTTTGTCAGTGTACCTGTATGTATTAAAATACCGGGGGGGGGTATGTACACATTATATCTAATTGGTGGTGGGAATTGTCAAGCCAGTTTATAAAATTGTGAACAAATATTTTCGTAAATAACACTGACTGCAAAATACGCCCTCCAGAAGTGTCACCGATGGCATATTTTATATTGCAAGTTCTTTTAATTTTACTTTAGTTGTATTGCAATACATTAGTAATAATTAAATGGAGTGGGTCGTCCAAGGCAATGATAACAACACACGCGAAGAACGCAAAGGCTCATGACGCTTGTTTGTAAACAATGACATGCTATTGCCATAATGCGTAGTTGACGACTCCCTCGCTTTGAAATATATTATTATACATTTCTATATTTTATTGCTAAGAATGAAGTATACATTCGTTTTATACCATAATTTCTTATCTATATTGGAAAATTGTTCTGGGGATTATTAAAGTCAATAAACAATATTGAACTATCCTTCAGCAACATCAATAAGAGTATGCCACTAAAGCAGTATGACAAGAATGCATGATGCAAAGCCCATTCTATAAATGGTCAAAAGTTTCTTGGTTTAAGAAACTAGGGGGCAATATCAAAGCATGGGTCTTATTTAAGAACTCCTAGGGGGCATTATCAACATGGGTCTTATTTAGGAACTCCTAGGGGGCATTATCAACATGGGTCTTATTTAGGAACTCCTAGGGGGCATTATCAACATGGATCTTATTTAGGAACTCCTAGGGGGCAATATTAAAGCATGGGCCTTACCCGGTGATTAGGAACTCCTGCCAGAGCAACTGGACAAAAAAAAAAGGGCAGCTAATTAACAGCTAAGGATGGTATTCCCAGAATAGCGCCAGTTGTTAAAGACATATAAAACTTTAATTCTCAACAACGATGAAAGGACCAGTTACTGCGGCAAAGCACTATATACTCCTCACGAAAGCTACACGCTATGAAATCCACTTATCGCAAAAGCCACTCGACGATCATCATGAGCTATTAGTTTTTTTTAATAAAATTAGGCAAATTTAGCTCTGGAAGCCTAACATCACAAAAGAGCGATCAAGTTATTTCCTGACAGATTGTCATTCACAATAGTGTCTGCTGGAAATGTAAAGTTTACTGATTTTCACTGAGTTGCCGCCCACTCACATGTTATCCCTAGACAGCAGAATGATTGTAAATTATTTAGTTGTTTTTATATGCAGCTACCGGTAATAGGTTAGAGGTCTAAAAAATTTGGTGACAAAGCATGGTTTATTTCTTGATTACACGCCCAGATCTGGAATGAAGGTTACAGTTCCAGTCATCACATATGGTAATCTGCTACTTGTTGAAAAAAGGCAGGAATGACAGTTTTATGTTCATTCCAATTAGATGCAATATTCCCAACACAATTTAGCAGTATGTATTTTTTTTTTCACTGTTAAATGGCAGCCAGAGTCAAAACTGTAATCTTCCTAATGTTGGGTAGACACGCTAACCAGTAGGCCGCATATCAGGTTTTTCAATGACATCACTTGGCATAAAATATCAGTGTTTTTTGATTTATACTAATAATGTACACAATTTATAAGCTGATGAAATTATCTACAGTCTATTATTATACATCAGCAAAACCGATAGAAAAGTTGCATCTACAACCATAAGGTATGTACACATGTATCTGTCCTCAATGCAACTTTTCCTTTTACTGTAAAATACTTTATTTTCACTGGAATTAATTTTCGCTGAAATGACTTTTTATGTGTGTTATATGGAATTTATTTTCACTGATTTTTGGCAAGTTGAATGTAAAAGATAGGAAAAAAGGTATATTCGCTGGATTTTATTTTCACTGAATCATTCCAAGCGAAAATAAAGTATTCTACAGTATATATCAACATTGAACATGTTCTAGGTTATTGACATCACATTCGAACACTTTCTTAACGCAGAGCTATAGTGTCTTAATATAAACAAGCAGCCTCTCGGCTGAGATAGCTCCGCTGTTAGCAATGCACATTTCAATTAAAGAACAGAAGATATCATTAGAAAATGAACAATATGCATAGTATCAATGCAATGGGACTTGCTGTTTTCAACAAGAATTCAAAAATATCATTTTTGACCATAAATGATTGTGGTTTTTAACAAGAAGAAAATATCACTTTTTACCAAAAATGACAAAAATATTCACCAAAATTAGAGAATTGAAGATATCATCATGAAATGAACAAATTTGAGAGTGGTCCATATGTAGTATCTAGAGAGGTTTACCCAAGGTACATATACACCAAGTATCAAAGCATTCAGGCTTGTAGTTTTCAACAAGAAGTCGAAAAAGTAAAACATTGACACGGACGACGGACACTGGACGACGACGGACAATCACTCATATGATAAGCTACGCTCAACAAAGTCGACTCATCATTGAACGCACAACGAAAAATATTTTTCGTAGGCATTTTTAGTTGATTGCTCTCACTAAATTATTTCTACAAACCGAGAAAAGATTTTATAATAATAAGTTTATCATGAGAACAGCGCAAACCAGTACAGGGTCACATGACAGACTTTGCTACATAGCCGTAAAAACGTTCACTGTACTGCATGTCTTTGTGCATAATTCACGTTTTTTTAGTAATATTCGCACATTACAAATTTGTTATTTGCATGTTCTCTGCACATGATCTGCAGAACTCCACATGGCATCATTTGTTGAACAGTTAATGAGTATCAATATAAAATTAATTCAGCAGATTACATGTTGCAAATATAAAAGCTATATTTTATCAGATCAAAAATATAAATTGAGGTGTTTGAATCTTATACATGCATGTATGCACATCGCAGGGTTCCCATGGTGCATCTCACTTTATGAAGTAAACTATTACTCCCTGTTAAAAAATAAAACACTTTATTATTTGCTCTATATTAGTATGACGTCTGACTTTTTTTTTTACTCACAATAAACTAGACTTTCATATAACTATAATAAAAAAATTTGCATATTACAAAGAAGCATGAATAAGAATTTTCACATTTTCTGTTTCTGGAGAACATAATAAAATTATTTAGCGCTGCTTGATTCTCACAGATGACGTGAAGCATAGAAAAGCTTCGATGCTGAGCCGATCTGTAGTTTTGTGTACAGGAAACAATTTTCTATTCTCTGTATAAATAAAAGTCTCCAATGATGTTAGTAAATTGATGTATACATTACATCAAAACTAACTCAATATGGTACTAATAGATGTACAAGCATGCCACGGAAAGACATCAACGTGGCTAAAGGTAATCTGACAGTATTGAGTTTATTCTTTATGTTTTAAGCCTATCAATGTAGGTGATGACATCATCAATCTTTGTTTCAGTGCAAATGATGTCATTCTTTAACGCGTTTCTGAGCAAATGATATCATCTCTTTCTTTTTTTGTGTTTCTGTGGAAGTGATGTCATCATTATTTGTGTTTCTGTGGAAGTGATGTCATCATTATTTGCATTTCTGTGGAAGTGATGTCATCATTCTTTGTGTTTCTGTGATGTCATCATACTTTGCATTTCTGTGGAAGTGATGTCATCATTCTTTGTGTTTCATAAAAAGAAGATGTGCAGATCGGAAGTGAAATGCACCATGGTAGTACCACCATGCAATGGTAGCACTTAAATTTAGATATAAATTCTTTTCTAACTAAAGTATATATTTTCAAAATACACATACACACATACTGTAAAAGGATTTAATTCTCACTTTGATTTTTGGATCATAATCACTGGGGTTTTAAAATTGACAGATTTGTCAGTGAAATAATAATAATACTAGTATATTTCCTGGAAATAAATATTGATGAAAACACCATTAAAATTGACAGGTTTAACTGATTTGACAACAACTACATGCAATCCAGTAAGGAGATGTCATTTTTTGCCGTTTTATTTTTGTTGATTTAAACTTTGAGCAAAAATAACAAAAATAGATTAAAGGAAAACAAAGAATTTCACTGTAAGCGAATTTCATTTCTGTCAGTTAAAAAATAAATTGAATTAACTCACTCTGATATGGAATCCAATTTAATGTCAGATCCTTTAAGTACTGGTGTGTCTTCACTTGGTGCGTCTTTCTCATCCATTTTGAATTCTACAAGAAAACGTCAAATTTTATTAGATCCCCTAACACATAAATTCTATGCAATCAAGGCCATTTAGCTTTCTCAAAAACCTGTCCATATCGTATCTATGGAGTCAAAGCATTTAACCTTTTTCCCCACCATACTTTCTCTGCACTTTTTTCTTATATACTGTAAAAGGATTTATTATTCACTGGGTTTTAATTTTGCTTATTTCCCTGACTGGAAAATGCGCTAAAATAAAACCCATTGAATATGTGAAATTAAGCATAGAACACATTATCTAAAAGATAAAACCGTGAATTTAAAACCCATTGAATATGCCTGAAATGCTAAATCAGCGAAATTTAAACCCAGTGAAAATTAGTCATTTTACAGTACTTAAATATTTTTGGTAAAAAACCCAAATTTTGGAGCCAACAGACAAAATTTGAATAATTTTTAGTTTTAACTCAAAAAAATTGGCTATTTTTGTCCTAATCTTCTGAAGGAAAGTGCAGACTATAAACAGTACTATTTTATGAATTTGTGGTGAAAAGGTTAAACAAGACAGAATTTGATCAAAATCAAAGAACCCTATCAACAAACAAGCTGCTCTCTGATTGGTCTGAATGTTAGGTGTTAGGGTTGGGTGGCCAATCAGGTACATCGACTCTAGAAATCTACCTCAGCTTAGGACATCAGACTGTGTATTAATAATTAATACTATATTTTTTGTTGTGGTTGTGTACATTATATCTAAAATACTTAAGTAGTATTAGCAATAATATACCTCATGACCATATAATAGCCAATCAGACTTAGGCACTTGCAAAATGCATAAATTGTATAATTCTGTGAATTAAAAAGTACATACAAAAGCACATATTTTACACAAAAGTAAAAATTGTTATTTTTACACATTTGATTATGTTACAAAAGATGAAGAAACAGAATTGAGAGAAAATCAACCTATGAAAATGTCATGTTTTGTTTTTCTTAGGGCATTTAACATTGTTTCCTATTGAAAAGATAAATCTCAAAAGTTTTCTCGGTGACATATGGTGAAAAAAAGATGTATCTTACAAGGTATTTTTTAATGTCTAGAAGTAAAAATTAACAATATTTTTAGTGGGTTTTTGGCAAAGAAATGTATATTCATTGTGGTGTATATAAGCTGATGGTAAAATGACATTTAATATATATTATTTTTTACGGTAGAGATGCAGTTTACCTGACAGGTATTTTAATTAGTTAATTAGGAAACCAAGATGACCTCCCTTGTCCACAAAACTATATGTTTTCGGAAAGCTTATTTTATAAATTTTAAAATTTTGTTAAAATTAACACCCTGGCTAGTTGTCTGTACGATTGTTGTAACACTGTTCAACCAAAAACAATGCCCCGACGGCGTTTTGAAGATAAACACATTGTCAATCATTTGTGAAAATTTCAAAACAAAAGGTCAAAGCGTCTAGGAGCTATTTTTTTTTTAAGTTCTGGGATGTGCACTAAAAAGAAGCTGAGATAATTGCGAATTTGCATAACAATTCACTCAGTAAGAAGTTTGCTAATGCTCATAATTAAAATGGCTGTAACAGTTCCAAATTTAAATGTATTTTAGTTTTGTTAAAAGTTAAATATAGTACATAATATGGAGATCCCGTCATTTCTTTTTTTCACCATGTTTTTTTTTTATTATTTATGTACATCCTTGCTAAATCTTGCTAAGCATTCAAAAGAGATAATTTTGTACCTGTTATCTGTATTTTAAAATCGTTTTTTGAGTATGTTCCACTATTCACAATTCTACAAAATTTTAAGTCTATAGCCAAGACCTTTTGGATAATAAAAAGCAAAAAAAAAAAATTTCACTCCCAAGTGCCCACAAACCTGCATCTCTACCTTAAATTAGTGTTTTTTTCAACCAAAAAAATTTACTAATACTAACTTGATTAATTTTGTCCCTGCTGAGGTATGTAATGGCAATCTTGAGCTTCAACCTGAGCTTGCTCAGAGTCAACCTGAGCTTGCTCAGAGTCAACCTGACATCCATCCCTGAGCTGTAAACAATTTCCCAAGCTCAAGTTGGAGCTCAAAATTGCCATTACATACTATACGCACAAGTAGCATTCTACCTTGATAGTACATGTACACCAAGATGCTACAAAATTTACATACTGTCCTCACACATGTATCCCTATTTTAATAGTGATGTTATTCGACAGAGAAAGATAATTTCACTGTAATTTATCTTGAACTGCCTGGGAGTTTACTTTGTGAAATTTGATCCGTGATTCACTTTGGTTGACAATTTTATGACCTGTGTCAGTTTGGTCCAAAATAAACACAATATGTAAAGCCAATGACTTTAAAGAGAAGAATACAGAATGATGTATAATGAGCATTTTTAAGATAAGAGAATATGACTAGCATGATATACAAGATGAAGATTCCATATGTTAATCCCAAGCATCACAAAACACAAATAAAAACAGCGTTAGAAAAAACATTTTTATCTGTTAACATCAATGTGTATATAAAACGAATGTAATAGTAAATGAAAAAGTCAGTATTACAATTCAAGAAAATTGAAATGTAAGAATTGTGAATTAAATGACCTTAATTGTATTTTTGTCACTTCTTTTCATTACATACGTTTTTACCATGTGAATATAATAACTTTGGTATACCATCAGAGGGCGCAGTATGGTAAATAAAATAAAATATTAAAAATACAAATCATAAACAAGTCATTGTCAATGACATAGCCCAAGTCTTTTAGTGACTTTGTCAAACGATGAAAAGCATAGTCAGATTATGTTTAAATATTGGAATAGTATTTTGCATATTAGGTACCGTAACTACAAATGTGCATGAAACAAGTATAAAGACAAGTTTGAATGAAAAAAAAATGTTGTGCATCAGTAACCCATTATGACTGATGTCAATGCCAAGTTTGAATGAAATCGGTTGAAGCATGTCCGAGAAACGGTTGATGACATGTCCAAATGTTGATTTTTGGCGTTTTGCGGGACAAAATGACCGCTAGTCGGTCAAAGGTCAACCAAATAAAAAATAAATTGATGTGCACATGTCTGCCATTATGACTCGTCTTTGTATCAGCTTTGAAGAAAACCTGTCCAGGCGTCTCTGAGAAATGACGATAGACGCACACACGGATATACACACAGACCCCAAAACATAAGTCCCGTTTCGAACTACAGAACTAAGTGAAAAGTTGATGTAATACAAATTCAGGCGACAAATTGAATTATACTACTCATCATTTAACAGACATATTAAAAACAAGTTTTCGTGATGTTTAACTTAACGTTCTGAGAGTAATGGCATAACGGTTTTAAATGATGACTATTTTCTCAGAATAACTCTTATATCCATTGAGTACTAATTTGTTGTAGTCAAATCTGAATTCAAATCACCATTGGCGGCACGGAAATGGTTATAGCGGGAACCCAATGATCCGTACAACTTTATAGTATGTTAGTTAAGTCTTTCTAACAAAAACACACCATCTGTCAATGTCTGAATCTAAATCCGTATCACAATATTAAAATGGTATATTATTCATGCGTTTGAAGTTTTGAATACCATAAAAAAGAGAAATATTATCCGTGTTTAATTTTCACAGATTTGATGTTGCTAGGATTACTAGGTTTATAGATTCTTGGTTTGTGAAGGAAACAATGCATTCTATGGGAGAATTTGCATATTCACTGGGTTTTGAATTTAACGCATTCAGCAAATTAAGGGAAAATAAAATCCAGCAAATAATTAAGCACAATACAGTATAAGGCAGTATTGGTGAGTGAAAAAAAAAAGAAAAATGTAGCACCATAATAATTCTATCACGAATCAAAAATTGTAACTTTTTTAACAAAATTAGAGCATGGATATTTTCTTTAATTTTGATAAAATTCTAGTAACATGCCATTTTTTTAAACTAAACTAATCACAGAAAATACACAGCACTTTTACAGAACAAGATAGAAAACAGGCGAATAGAAAGGTTGGTAACCATAGTAACACTCACAGTACTCAAGGTTTTTAAAAGAATGCATAACCGCAAATAAATATACATCACGATGATTTCTACCTCATCCATTTATTTCTTCAAGCTTTTTTTACAAAATTGTTCATTCCCATCACAACATTAACAGGTAAGAAAGTGACCTGTTATTATAAAGGTTATTGCATCGCCAGAGAATTAAAAATTAATTTCTCTGCTGTCACCTACTTATCCTGCATATGTCGCCACATGGTGCGTATATGTACTCTGATTTGAACAATGTACCGGTATATTTATTTGTCATGCCTCTGATACAGGACAAATTTAATTGTATTATTTCACAAAGAAATAACATAAGGTAGCCGGTACCCGACTGGAGATTACGAGCTCCGCAAAGGTCGAATATATTTGTAGACAAAGTCAAATTAAATTATCAACAACAAAATTTCAAAATTTTTACTCTTAAAATGTGTAAGCCATTTTTTTCTTCATGAAAAAATAAAAGAAAAAGTAAAAAAAAAAAAATGTTATTTTGTCATTTTAAGTGAAGATTGTGGTGAAAATGTTAAACAAATTCGAAAAAAAAGTCCATGATAATTTTCATCTTCTAAATTACAACTTTATTCTGTTTTTTCAGCTGAAAATAAAATATTTCTGTTGTGCAACATTCAAAATTAACAAACTCAATAGTTCCCATTTTAAAATTTCAACCACACAGCAACTACAAATATGATTACCAATGAAGCGTATATTTCTAAAAGCGGAAATCTCTCCTCCATAACTTGTAGGATGTATTGATGCGGAGGATTATCTCCGGAGCCGCCTTGGATCAAGTGCCAATTTACTGCTTCAACAACAGTCGAAAATCATAAATAATTTGTGAACCGACTTAGTACGTGCTTTCAGCACGACCGCATGGTATTTACAGGTATCTGCAGATGTAGTTACAAAATGTAATAAATACGAACAACAATGTTTTGTCTTTCATTTCTAGCAGTTAGT